GCCTCCCACTCACTCTCTCTCTCAAATAAAGGATCATGACCTGAGCCGAAGGCAGACGCTTAATGACTGAGCCACCCAGGCGCCCCATCCTGTCCCTCTCTTGATTGGACCCATGGCAGAGTTAGTAAATTACATCACATGTTAAAGCTTGGCAGGGAACATGGTCGCAGCACTTCCTTCTGCAGTGCCCTCAGCTTTAGCCACTAACCAGCTCTGCCTGTGAACTTCATCCATGGGCAGCCACAGCAGCAAATGAACAGTTACCACTTCTGAGAGCTGACTAAGGGCCAGGCACTAGATGAGTCCTGGGCAGACATTTTTCCCTTAATTATCACAAAAATCTTGGAGGAGGGGACAATCATTTCCTCTTTTGCGCAGGGTTAGAGAAGAGGAGCAGCTTGTCCACGGCAATGCTAACAGGAGAACAGGACTCAAGCTTCTTCGAGGAGCACGGGAGAGGGGAGGAGAAGCAGCAGGGAGCAGCTGGAAAGAAGCAGGGCTCCAAAGACACATTCTAGCTCATTCGCCCCCAGCAAATCACTTAATCTCACTACAGAAGGAGACTCACCTCTCTTGCCCAACTACTTCGTAGGATTTTTGTGAGGCCCAAATGAAATCACGTATATGAAAAACCTTGAAAACAGTAAAGCATTTGACAAATACCATGTGTCATTAATAGAAAGACAGAAGACTAAGTCATACTCCTTAGGAGCGTAACACTTCAATCACGACAACGTCAACGGAAAGACCACACCCTCTTTTGTCCCCCAACTAAGTCCTTTAAACACAGGATTTTCTTAAGCAATCTCTTAAAGATGAAGGGCTCAGGGATGCATGCGGGTATCTGAACTGGTCTTGCAGAGAGCTTCAGTGTCTTAAATTTAATTCAGACACCCTGTCTGAGCGATTAATCCTGACTGGAGAAAGTAACCATTTTGTTATTACTAGTAATTCTGTTTCAAAAAAAGGACTACTGGACTTTTACACCCTTAATCTCTGTACTACAGGAAATGAGGAAAAACAAACAATACTGTCTCATGAAAGGCCACATTATATAGAGTAATTCACTTTTTATTATCATCATAATTAATAGCAAAGTCCACAGTTCAGTTCCCAGGCAATATCAAAGTAGATGCTTTATATATATATATATATATATATATATATGTATATATATAGGACACCTGCATGTAATATTATAAGACAGTAATTTTTTTGGAGCCATTATGATTTACCAGTTTATTAAAGGGCACTCACACAATTAAAACCTGCACAATTAAAACAATTCAATCTTCAAGCAACTAAAAACAATGAATTGTCAAGTCAGTGTGGTAGAGCTACTGAGTAATCTGGCCTTTCAAGTAACATCAACTGGAAATCCCATTTTCTCCTTTCATCTACAGATCATTAAAAAGAAAAGAACCCCCCCCCCCACCAAGCCCCCAAAACTACCTGCCCTGGGAGAAAGTCAGGATTCTGCACATGCAACTTGGGGACACACTCCCCCGTGGGTTGATGGAGGGAGACCCCATCACTCCAACATGTGCTGGAGCACGGAGGGGTCCGCCTCCACGGCCTGGAGGCCTCTGTGCAAGCTCCGGAAGGTGGCCTGCTTCCCATAGCGCTGCCTCCAGCGGATGAAGGCCTCCACCATCTGCGACTGTACGTTGTGGGGGTGGTTGGCCTTACAGCGGTAGATATCCGTCTGGGACAGGCCCAAAGACAGCACCACAGGCTCCCACTCAGGGCCCAGCCTCTGAGCCAGCTGGTTGATCTGCTGGTCGGATGGGGAGCTGTTGAGGATGTGCAGGGGGATCCCAGTCATCTGGTCATCTGGGGAAAAGAAAGACATGAGGGTGAAAAGAGCAAACAAACACATCAGATGGGGGCAGAGATGAAAAATGTGAATAGAACAGCACGATGCTTCATCTGGCAGAGCCAACTCTCCCTAGTCTTCTTGGGGGCTGCTCAGGAAAAGGTCATATATAGGAGCTTACAAAATGCCATTTAGCATCTGTGAAAATGTTTATTACAGAAAATGTGAAAACAAGAAAATAAAAATAACTAGAAATCCCATCAGAGAAACCCCACTGATAATGATTTGATCTTTCTTTTTGGTCTTTTATATATAACACATATGTTTAGGGTTTCATGGCACTTCCCGCTTTGTAACATGCTTTCTCCCCTTCCATCTCTTTTACCAGAGAGGCCAAGCAGGGGGTTCAGAGGGAATTAAGAATGCCAGCCTGGGCCCCAGTTCCCCCCCCAGTATGGGCCTGTGGGCGCAGGGGTGACACTCTCTCCTGCAGGAATGGCTAGTGCTGGAGGGAAATGGGCTAAATAGAACAGCTTCTCTCTCCTGATAAACTTTGAACATTACCAAGCAAAGTTGCAGTTTCTAACAGAAGCAGAACCGAAGAGGCCTGCTGAGAAGAAAAGAAAACTCAGAGGCCATGAGGTAGCAGGAGGAGAACCCTGGCAGAGCCCAGAGGAGGAAGACAAAAGCATGTGCTGTGGAAGGGCAATGAGAGAACCTAACCTTGCACTTCCTAGATCCCAGTCTTCCCGAGGCCGGTCTGCTGCGGGAACTCTGACACCGAGCCTCGGCATGCAGGAAGAAGCACCATCCATGACAATGCAGAAGGCCTTCTAGAGGAAGGAGGCTAAAGCTAAGCCCTGAACACGAGAAAGAGCCCCATGAAGGGAAAGGTAAGGAAATGTGCCTTGGGCAGAGGGAACTGCCTGTGCAAAGGCCCGGAGGCAGGAGACCATGGGAAATTCAAGAAAGAAAGAAGTTCAACGTAGGGAAGTGCAGAGACTGAGAAGCACTCCAAACGCCCAAAATTCTGGTGCTGCTTATTGGTTAGGCCCAAACTAGAAGTGAGGTTTTCATATTCGTCATTCAGCCATGTGTACAACAAACCACACTACACTTGTACTATACTTTCTGTCACCAGCATCATGGGAATCCGAGTCAATCCCACTTCACACTCACCAGCTCATTGTTTAGATTATGAATTCAATAAGAAGGCAAAACACATCCTATTAGAATAGCTAATGTTTTCCACTGCACATGCCTTGTGCCAGTATCTTAGGCATGAGTTGGAAAAATACTGTCAAGGGCTCTTCCTGGTGTTTGTCAAGACAAAACTGTTAATTTTTTTAAAATGATTAAGAAGCAACTAGAATAATGACAATACTACTGACCAATATTTTATATTAACGGTAATGATTTCATGGCTTTTATAAAACTATGGGCACTTTTACAAAAATGTGGGCTCATTAGAAAAGTATAAGCAACATAAAAAAGTATAAAGGAGAAAACAAGTCATCCAATAACCCACCACTGTACTTAGAGTTGTTGAACATCATTCTGGACATCTCTTCAGGCACATATCCTGTATTAATAGCTTTTTTTATCATAAAGGTTATTTAATTTTGCTTGAATGTAACAGAAAAAAAAGAAACAGAAGTGAAAACTAAATGACTTTTTGACCTACAGTTAAATATTTAAACAACAACAGCAACACATATACACACACAAAAGATTTAACGCTGCTTTTGAAAAAAGTATATGAAAATTTAAGAGGTAAACTATATATTTTCACATTAACGCTCTATAATTAACACTTGATATTTCTTCTTCCTTTCCTCGTACCTCATCATTTTTCTTTCTTTCTTTCTTTTTTTTTTAGAGAGAGAGAGAGAGAGAACGCATGTGCACAAGCAGGGAGCAAAGGACAGAGAAAGGGAGAGAGAATCTTAAGCAGGCTCCATGCCTAGCGCAGAACCCAACACGGGGCTCGGTCTCACAACCCTGAGATCATGACCTCAGCTGAAATCAAGAGTTGGATGCTTAACTGACTGAGCCCCCTCAGGCGCCCCATTGCTTATATCATTTTTGTTGTGTTGGGTGCATAACATTTTTATGGTTCTGGGACAATAATCTTCCCCCTAAGTTGCTTAGTCTTAAAACTACATTATAATGGTTTGAATGTTCATCAATTCTTTTTTGTTGTTACTTCTTTTTTAACCATGGCTTTTCAACTCCTGAATCTGTTATTTTTTTTGTTTTTATATAAATTCTAGTTAGTTAACATACAGTGCAATATTAGTTTCAAAAGCAGAATTTAGTGATTGATCACTTACATATAACCCCCAGCGCTCATCATAACAAGCGCCTTCCTTAATACCCATCACCCATTGATTTGAGTCATTTGGGTCAATTTCATCATAAGGTAATTTTTATCAAGAAATGCTCATGGTCACTACATTCCTTTAGTTCCTTCAGATCAAGACTGTCTGCTTACTGCTTTCATTGTTGAATAATAACATTTGTGAAAACAATTTCATATCATTTCAATATTATGCTTTAAATTATAAATAAAATTTTACATTATTTAAGTAATTTTATTCCTCTCACAAGTTTGTAGATCATGCTCCTATTTTATGGAGGGGAATGTTGGTTATGGAGAATTCTGACACCAATTTGACCATCCCCCATTTTGTATAACTTGCTTTTTCAGCCTGGGGCTTACAGTACTGAAGCTTTAGATCAGGTATATCTTGGTCATTCTCTATTTGCTTTTTAAGGTATGTCACATGATATTCTGACCGAAGATTTAGCTCTTTCTCCCTTCCAGAAAAATTTTCCTATGTCATATCTCTGCATTCTTTTTCTGCCCCAGATGCTAGATGGCTTTCCCCATCCACCATAGCTGTCATTTTCTGTCTTATTACTTTAACTCCTTTTCTGTGATCATCTCATGCTTTTCCCCTATGCCATTCATTTGATGTTTGGTTATGTTTATGCTGTTTTATTTTGTTTTGTTTTTTTCTGGTTCAAACCTTGTAGTGTGTTTTTTCCTCAATTTATTTTCTTGGCTCCTCAATCTATCTTTTTTTTTTTATTAAGATATATTCATTTATTTTTAGAGAGAGAGAGAAAACATCAGGAGGAGGGGCAGAGGGAGAGGGAGAGAATCCCAAGCAGACTCCTCACTGAGAGCAGAGCCCAACACAGGGCTCAATCTCATAACCCTGAGATCTTGACCTGAGCTAAAACCAAGAGTCAGACAGTTAACTAACTGGGCCATCCAGGTACCCCTCTTCAGTGTGTCTTTTAAAAATCCCATTCCACTTCATATCCATTAGGATGGCTATTGTCAAAAAACCCCCCAAAATAACAAGTGTTGGTGAGGATGTAAAATGGCACAGCTGCTATGGAAAAGAGTATGGTGGCTCCTTAAACAATGAAGCATGGAATTATCATACAATCTAGCAGTTCTAATTCTGGGTCATATACCCAAAAGGCCTGACAGCAGGTGACTCAAAGAGATATTTATACACCCATCTTCATAGCAGCATTGTTCCCAATAGCAAAAAATGGAAGTAACCCAAGTGTCTATCAAGGAATGGAAGGAGAAACAAAATGTGGTATATTATAGATTAGAATATTATTCAGTCTTAAAAGGGAAAACATTCTGACTCAAACTACAACATGGGTGACACTTAAGAACATTCTGCTAAGTGAAATAAGCCAGTCACCAAAGGACAGGTCCTCTATGATCCCATTCCTATGACGTACCTGCAGTAGTCAAATTCATTGAGATGGAAAGAATGGTGGTTACCAGGGGAGAGGGTGGGGGGAATGGGGAATTGTTTAATGGGTAGTCAGTTTTGCAAAACGAAAAGAGTTCTGGAGGTTGGCTGCACAGTGTGAATGCACTTAACACTACTGAACTGTACACCTAAAAATGGGAAAGATAGTAAGTTTCATGTTATAGATATTTTATCACAATTAAAAATAAAAATTTTTTAAAAATCTCATTCTTGTTTTATCATAACGACGTTGAGTTTTTATTTCCACTGAACTGATCCTGAGCTCTCCGATAGCACAAAATACTTGTGAGGTTGAATTTTCTTGCTTTGGGTTTCTGCTCAGGCCCAACTGGTTGTATGTTTACTCTTTGCAATCCATGTTCCTGTCTTTATACTGCTGTAGCATTTTCACATGGTTGTCATGACACTTATCTTCATCTTGCTCACATTTAACATGAGCATCTCTATCCAGAGCTTCTTTTATAGTAAGCCAAGGTATCCTTGGCACTCTCTCTCTCTGAGCTACAATTTGTGCTTGGCTGATGCTTTCTACGTGGTGTTCTGCCCCGGAGGAGAGGTAGGAGAACTAGGCCTGCCCTGGCTGGGGGTCCAGTGTGCTGTTCTTTCTTCTGGAAGCCAATGAAATGTCTTATACCAGAGCCTGCTCTGCCTAGCCAGGGCGCACGCACTCCTGCGGTCTCTTTCCTGTAGCTCAATGCAGAGATGGCCTGCCTGGGTTGCCTTCCTGCCTCTGCTGCTGATGTCTCCTGACATTTACCAAGGCCGTCTACTCACCTCCCCCACCAACTTCTTTCATACCGATCTGAATTAGTAGTGGTCCTTAGGATTTTGTACCCTTCCCTTCTTTTCCCAGGACTGCTTCTGAAGGGTTGGGTGGGGTGTTGCCTTCCTTTGGCATAAAAGTTGTGATTGGTTGTTTTTTTGTTTGTTTGGTGGGTTGATGCTGGTCAATGTTTCTGTTCTCAACTGCTTTTTGGTTCAGTTCATCGGGTGCTGGGGAGGGAGCCTCTGTGGTCCCACTACTCCATCACCATTCTGACTCCTGGCCAACTCTTAATGCAACATAGGCTTTGGGCCAATTATTTGGGAGTGAGGGCAGTATTTGCTCTCATTCCCCTGCACTTTTAGGGTCACATATCCCTTGGGAATACTGCCCCATAACTGGGAGATGGCCAGCAGTCTGGGACGCAGGCTGGAGCAAAGATAACTGG